GGATCAAGACGCGTCGGTCAGTCGTCAGTCCTCAAGATGTCAAAGGAAGCACCTTCAATACTTCACTTCTCACGATCCGTACAGGGCATGATATGTCTATTTCACTCTGCTCAAATTCTTATTTTGTTTGTACCCCGACATATGCTCCCAACACTTGCTTCGCCGACACTGATGATATGCTACCAATCAGGAGCTCGAGACCATCTCAAAAGAGAAGGTTCAGTTGGCAGCTGTAGTGAAGCATTTTAAGTTAGCATCTGGGCTGGAATTTTCTGAATCGAGTTGCATCGATCTTCTAGTCAAGTTGTGTGCAAAACGGCTGAGGTGGCACATCCACAGGTGAGGGACGTGGCCAGCTGGGCTGGAAACGTGATGATAGCCAAGACCCATCCGGATTTCCCCAGTGACATTTGCTTGTTGCTCAGCACTTTGGGGGCGAAGCTCACCTTGATGAATGCCTCCAAAAAGACAGAGACCCTTGGCACAAGTTGGATTTGGTCTTGGTATGTCCACGTGCAGCCATAAGGTGGAGCAAACTTTGTCAAGTTAACACGCTGTGTTTTGCTTCACTCCAAGAATGGCCCAGGGTGGTGGAGATCATTTCGTTCCTGTCAGATTCAAGCTTACCACGTCAGGCCCTTCGGCAGAAAGTTTCATAGCAAGATGCCAAAGACATTGAAGCATGAAACATCATGAAACAATTGAATCTAATTTGAAGCAATTGTGGTATAATCTACTACTACGGCCTTGGAGGGGTGGCTTAGGGTGTGGCAATGTGGGGGGTGGTTCCGAGCACCTCAGTGGAGTGACATCCGAGGTGTTCTTCTTGCTATTCGTGCTTCTCCCAATTCCGGTCGGTCCTCTCCTAGTAGCTAGGGCATTATTACTAGTATATAACAAGAAGCTACTTGCATCGCTATTCACGAAAGGTAGCCTGGTAAGGACTACCTTGAGTTTGCTTTGCGAAGCAAAGGGACTGGCTTGAGAGCCTGCTCGGGACTAAAGATTGGTAGATCAATGTCTAACACCCCCACCCCCCTTCCCCCCCCCCTCCCATGTGATGATTTATTGATAAATCAATTCATTCGACCCCCCCCCCTCCCCTCCCCTCCCCTCCCCTCCACTCCCCTCCACTCCTCTTCCCGTCCCCTCCCCAGCACTACTAGCAGCACTACTAGCATTCTGAACACACCATCACACCATAAGGTGCAGTCATGCGCTTAGCAGTCACAGCAGCACGACGCTGGTGGCCATGAGGTTGCGCAATACAGCACGAACCCTGCACAATGAGGTTGCGCAATGCGGCTTCGATGCCGCGCGTGCGCGTGCGCGCCCGGCTGCCTGACACAGCGCGTACTGCATTCACAGACCATATTGCTCGACACCGACGAGGATCGATGCAACACAGCCTCTCCGCAAAGCCCTGTGGAGAAACCTCTCGCTTCGCGGAACACCCTTCGACTCAGCCTTATATCCTAGCGTGGCGAAATCTTACCGCATTGTGGAGCACCACTACACGGCTATTTACGCGCCCTCCCATCAGCCACCCACCATAGTGACGTCCATCCCTGGCAGTACCGGCCGCACCCCTCTAGCACTGTCCTTGCAAGAGGGTTGGTCACTCCGGCTTCGACGCAACGCGTGCAGGCCTGTAATCCTGACACAGTGCGTGCAGCTGTGGGACCATAGCTGGTACACATGCGAGCGTTTACGCACTGCGACGTTTTACGCGCGCCTGTTTTCACACCTAGACACAAACGAGCGTCGACGCAACGCAGCCTCTCTGCAGAGCCGTGTGGCGCAATCTGACCGCAACGGTGTTCCTCTTGAGCCTTCTTGTGCTCTCTGGCTTTGTTGCTTTCATCCATGATTGAGCAAGGGGCACGTTCCGGAAACACCGGAGACAGCCCCTCACCAGAAACGGTCCCGACAGCTACCTGGTCCGTCACCTTTCGTGTTTCCCCGCTCAAGTGGTAACAAGGGCATTACTAGAAGCTACTAGTAACAAGGTGCATCGCTATTAGGAACAGGTGCCATTACTCCACATTTCTTGATTCCTTTTGACCTCCCCGAGCTCAGGACCAAGCTCAGATCATCCATAGTGTCACTATTCCTTTTCCAGGCCTAGCGAAGCTCTGCACTTGAAGAAGCTACTAGTAGCGTCCTTTGCTCCTAGTAGTAGGGCCAGGAGCCCCTAGAAGCTACTAGTAGCTACAATAAGAAGACCCACAAGAAAGGTTTCAGATTTGACATTTCGTACAGGCCCTGACAATTTCTTGGACACATTCAAAGTGATGCGTCGGCACATGCAGCTCGGCGACCTCGATGCCAACATGCCATGGAAATGCTCAACATGCCAACATGATTGTTTGCTCTTGGACACTTACACGTGACTGGCAGAACTAGTTGAACCCAAGCTGTGACGCCAAGGAACACTCATGCAGAGGTCAATGCAGGCTTCCTTTTCCAATTCAATGGTGGCGCAGAGGTTGCCAGCACCAGGCCAGAAAATGGAGTCAAGGGAGTTTGTTAGCATGGTTGGAATTGAAAAGGCTCTAGAATTGCTTGGACTATTGCACAAGGCAAACTCTCCTGTTGCATCAGCATCGGGTACAACCCTGCCGCCTCAACCATGCAAACATAGCAGGTATGTATTTGACCCACGCACTCCGGATGATGAAAGCAGTTTGGTCTACTAGTTTACTGAGGGGCTTTGTACTTTTGTATCAGTTTTAGTCTGATGCAAATCTTTGACTCGAATTTCCACATTCTTTTGTCGCTTGGCTTTGCAGCAGTTTACCGCCTTCAGGCTGGTGATTGGCAACATCGAGCACAAGCCATTTGTGGCAACAGAGACATCCAAGGCTAGAGCACCTTGTGAGGAACAACTACACATAAACTAAGAGTAATGAATCGAAGAGACATCTAAAGACAGTGTCCACATCGACACAGTGTCACAGTTTGTCGAAGTGAAGCCGCCTTGAGGCCTTGCTGGGGAAGAGCCTGGACTCTGCGACGATCTCAGCAGCCTCGAAAGTCCTGGAGCAAGAATTGAAGGCGACGCCATTTTTTGCAGCAAACAGTAACATGAAGTATTCATCATTCTTTCTACCTTCCGGACATTTGTCATTCTATGTTTCAGCATTTATCCCACAGTTGTCCGAAAAGACGATGAAGTAGCATAGAGCTGACGACATTTGACGACAGTGACCAAAACGCCGATCAAAGAGAGTGGGGAATTTGCAGTTTGGTCAGGCCCATCTCATGGAGCCAACAGTTCCCGAGCCACCATTTGTGGTGGTCGATCCTCAATATCGTCTTAGTTTGGCACCTCGGCTTATTCAATTGGCTGCAAAATGAGGAAAAAGGGATGGTCGAAATGATTCTGAAGGTCTAGAAGTCTAAAGAAAAAAGCGGACGCCAAAAAACATGTGTGTCACATAGATTGGAGAGTGATCCGAGCTCAGCCGTTGCGCCTCAGGCTACGCAGCTCTTTGTGAAGGCGGCGCTCCGTGCGCGAATGAATCGCTTGGGCAGCCAAGCGCTCTCTGCCGATGAACGCTCCGCAGCAGAGGAACCTCAACGCCCGGCCAGCTGCGGAGCACAGCTACTAGGAGCAAGTGCGACGTTCATAGGACGCTACTAGGAGGAAGGGCATCGCTACTAGGAGCAAGGGCCTTACTACTAGGAACAAGAAGCTAGTAGAAACAATAAGTAAATAGACTTTAATTAGAATTAAGTGTAATTCAAAGCAAAGGAGGCTACTAGGACCTTTTCGCGCGCGCGCGCGGCGCGGGGGGGGGGGGGGTAGGAGCAAGGGCATCGCTACTAGGGGCTCCTGGCATCGCTACTAGGAGCAAGGACGCTACTAGGGGCTTGTGGCCATACTACTAGGAACAAGAAGCTACTAGAAACAAACTAAGTGCACTAAGTTTAGTCGTCTTGGCTAATTGGGCACTTATATAGTCAACTTAGTCTTTTGTAAAAGGTTCATGATGTATTCTCTGAACATTGCTCATGGTCTCTGAGTAAGATAATACAAAAGTGCAAAATATGTTGCAGAGATCTTCAATATCATGCGATGCTAGACTTGCATTCACTTCACTTCATACATGAAAGGAAAGGGAGAAATGAAAAGAGGAAGAAAGGATAGTCCAAAGACAAAAACTACAATATAATATAAATATAAATGCAATCTGAATGCATTCAAAGTGTTCCATGTAGTGTTCCAATGTGTTCCATATTGTTCCTTGCTGCCTTGCTCTTAGGCACTTCACTGTCGATCATTCTACTGCCCCTGTGGGGCAGCCGATGGAGAAGTTCCAGGGCTTGGACCAAGCCTGTGGACACTCAGCAGAATTCAAGTCAGATGACGTCGCGCAAAGCGACAACTTTGCGAAATAAGTTGTATATGGTTATATGGTACTACACCCCTTGTGATTGAATACAACTGCTGCAACATCGAGCATTGATTGTCTTTAAAAGTTAGTTGGCAGGTGTTTGTGTGATGGCTCGGCCTGTTTCAGGGAAATATGTTTCAGCTATTGCAAAGGCTTTACTTAGTTTTCCCTCTCGACAGCACCACTCCACAAAATCCATCCATGGTTAGATCGTAATGTCACTGGTTCGTCCATAAATGACTCTGCGTAGGCACCGCCCAGTTCGTGGCAGACACGCCTTTGCTGCCTCGAACTCTTTTTGCTGTGCCTATCCTGGCGGAGCGCGTGGCTCTCCTGCAGCGCTGGGCCTCCCAGAGCACAAAGAGACCGACACAAAGGAGTCCAACGATAACGTTCTCTTGCTCGTTCCGCTTCGAGTTCCGTGTGGCCTCAAAGGCATTGATGCGGCTGACTGCCTGGAGGTCACAGGCGCCACATGTGCAGCGCCACATCGCCATTTTGTCCTGCGGTGCCCGTGGTGCATGCGGTGCTAGGTGTTCACTCCTTTATCTCTGCGGCTGATGTGAAAGATGTGGGTCGAGCACCCAGATGTCGTTTTAGTGGACAAACAAACAACCCCTACTATGAACAAGGATACTTTTAAGCACAAGAAAAACTGTTGTTTGACCTTTTTCTTCCTTTCTTTCCATTTATCATGTTCGTTTGCTTCTTTAGTTGCTTTAGTTCTCTTGATTTATGTAGACCCTTCCCTGTTTTTCTTTGCTTTAATGGACAATTATTTTCACCTTCAGGAGTCTTAAGGAATGGACCGACTGAAACACCAAAGCGGAAAGCGGATCGTTTTCTGAAGGAGCTTCCAATGACCTGAAGACCACCTACCCGGGCAAGGCCATTTGAACAACTTTCTAGCACTTTCCACACCAACCGCCACAACCGGGTCGTGGCATCCAATATCTCAACCACGAAGCGCCAACGAAAATATAGTCATGAGCGTGGAACAAGGATACAGTACTTTTTACGACAAGACTCGTCAATGCACTGCAGATCTTCGCTGATGCTGCAGAGAAGACTTCACACTTGGGCCAGTTCATTGGCCTTGTCCTGGCAGAAAGCTTCGAGGCCTGTGTTCAAATGGGATGGCATTGATTTGTTCGTTTCAGAGACGTTTTCATACGTTTTCACGCCAGGCAGCACGTTCTGGTGCCCGGCTCGTCCATGTGGTTTCTTGGTGCAAATTGAGAAGAAGAACATGGTAGCTTTATTGTTCCTAGTAAGGCCAGGAGCGCTCCTAGTGGCGTCCTTGCTCCTAGTAGCGATGCCCATTGTTACTAGTAGCTTCTTGTCATCTATGAGCGGCTGGCAATCGAGGACTATGAGGAAAGCTCAGAAGTGACGACTACCATAGATGCAGCCGTCCAGAGAGGTGCAGTGAAGGACTCCAGCTGCAAAAAAGCCAATGCAGTTACCATCAAGACGAGTCGTAACACAAGTATTGTCCGTAGGAGCAATCCCGCTACTAGGAGCAAAGGGCATCGCTACTAGGAGCAAGGACGGGCTCCTGGCCTTACTACGAGGAGCAAAGGACGCTACTAGGGGCTCCTGGCCTTACTACTAGGAGCAAAGGACGCTACTAGGGGCTCCTGGCCT